GCGGGCCTCCGCGTTGACCCCTCCTGCCAGGCATGGGGGTCCCAGCAAGCGCCGGCCAAGACATTGGAGCAGGATGAGCATGAAGATAATGGACAGACAGACGGACAGGGCTGTGGATGGAGACTCTGCAGCCAAATGGCTGCTTCTTCTTGGCTTCTGGGTTTCTAGTTAAAAAGGCCGAGGGGAGCCGAGCCCCAGCCCGCTGTGCGTGTCGCTCCCCGCACCGCGAGGACGGCCGGGCTGGAGCGTCCTCGAGTCTCTGAACTAGCGGGGCAGGCGTTGAGCAGCTGCCGCGGGGGCTGCGCGCCGGGGTGGAGCGGGACCCGACCCGACAGCCTGCCCAGCACCCGAAATCCGAGGCCGTCGCTCTTGTCCGTGTCCCACCGTGGCGAGGAGCAAGGTCCCCTAGATGTGTCTCTCCGCTGACGCTCGCAGGGAGAAGGGCAGCTCTCCGGAGGGCTTTGGTAGCTCAGGTTGTACATCCAGACGTCGGTTAGCAGGGGAAGTCCTCAAAGGTGCCCCGGGCCGGGTGATGAGGTAGGATGTTGGCTGCGTACGTCATACCTGCCGGGTGGCCCCGTATGCTTTCACAGGGATTCTGTGGGGCAGAGGATGGATGGGACACTGGGGTCACTGGTTTTACCCAAACCCCTGTGGAGAGCGAGTCCTGTCTCCCCACAGCATCTCTGCCTGGTGCCTCTGCTCCTTTCCCAAATGCTCCCCAAAATGGTGACCCCCTGCACCCCACAACACATCTGGGGCAGCCCCTGAGCTGCAGGAGGGGACCAGCAGCTCCCGTGACGTGCCCGGCACTTACATGGCGTTTCACGTCGTCCATGCTCAGCGCGACGCCCTTGTCCGTATTGTTCCTCTTGTGGTTCTTGTGGCACTTGCCCCTCCGGCACAGCCGGTGCTTTATCACCTGTGAGAGCCAAGATTTCAGTGCCGTGGGGGCTCGTGGGTGGCTCTTCCCCGTGTCCCACACAAGTGTTTCGGTGCTCCAGGATCACCTGGGCCCCCTGGCAGCCGTGGGACTGCAGGGACACTCACCTCGTAGGCGTAGTCGAACAGCTCCAGTACTGTGAGGATACTGGCCCCAATGAACAGCCCCATCTGCCCTCCGATGTCACCTGCAGAGGAGAGGGAAGCCATCAGGGTGGCACAGGTCCAGTGTCCAGTGGCAGAGGGAGCAGAGAAAGGGCAGAACTCATCACTGCTGTGACTGGTGCCTCAGGAACATGTCAGCAGGGTGCTCTGCTCTGCACCCACACTGTCGACACATCCCGGTGCCTCGGGAACAGGACCGTGGTGCACGGGGCCAACATGAGACCACCTTGTTGGAGGATGCTGCCGGTTGGGGGACAGCACAGCCACCAACACTCACCCAGCAAGCCGGCCACCTCGTACGCCTTCTTCTGCTCAATTGTCTCGTAATTCAGGGCTTCAAAGAAGATATCCAGCACCAGGATGTTCTCCCTGTGTAGGACATAAGGAACGTCAGGCTGAGATTTGGGATGAAGGGACAAGATGCTGCCCCATCACCACAACAGCAGCTCGTTACCCGATGTACTGCTCCGACTTGTTGTACTTCTTGGCCAGGTACTTGGCAGAGGCCTTGCTGGGGATCTTCACCATGGAGAGCTCTTTGCCGTAGCGAGTCACGTTGCAGGGCATGTCGCAGACACAGTACTCATTGTCCTTCTCCACCAGGAAATCTGGGCAGGGAGAGAGAGGGAGAGATGGAGAGATGGAGAAATCCAACCCCCAGAGCTCAGTCCCACAGGGCCGGGCAGCCTCACCTAAAGCTGGATCCGCACACTCCTTGTACTGCTCCGGGGTGCAGTAAGGGGCATCGCCTGGAGGAGGGAGAAAGAAGGTTTGTTTTCCTGGTGGGATGGTGTCGGTGGGATGAGCGTGGTGGGTGCCGGACCCTGCGGTGTGCGGGGCTCACCTGGCATGTGCACCATGCGGCAGTTGCAGTTCTCCACCAGGTAGCGGGTCTCGCAGTCGATGCGACAGGCAGTGATGCTGTAAGTGTCGTAAAACTCCAAATCGCCCGCCGCCGCCTTGCAGTCACCCCAGGGAGATGGCAGGTAGATGAGCTGGGAGGGGGCAGAAGCCAGGGGTGAGGAGAGAAACCCACCAGCCCCTCACAGCCACCCTGCATCGGTCCCCACGGCCAGGTCCCCTTCTCCATCCGATACGGTGGCAAGGGACAGGGGCATGGAGAGGGAGGGCA